CAGATACACTTTTGAAATCTGAACCCAAGAGCCTATCAGGATTTTGCAAATTAGCTTTGTCTTTATAGCAAGTCCATGCAAACTTCAGGTCCTAAGCCTGAGACTGGAGGTATTGGAAATCAACAGCCACATTTGTTGTAGTGTGAAAATGTGGGTGAAATAACATCTTCTTTCAAATATTTTCTTCTCTTTTCTTTTTAAATTTTTTCCTAATTGTCTCCACTTTTCCTTTGGCAGCTATAAAACATTGTAACCAACCACAAATAACTATAAAGATGGAAGAGGGAGACTGTAAACAGACCATTTTTGCTCTTTATTTTGCTTATTCATATTTTGGACATGTTTATTTGTTTATAAGATTGCTGTACATGAATAAAAGCACTAGAAATACTCCCAAGCCATTGGTTACAAATGATTTAAAGCTCATTTCTTCTCTAAAAGTTAATCATGTAAAAATGAAGCCTTCCTGTCCACAGATCTACTCGTCTCCCTGTCTGTATCCAATTAGGTCAGCTCTTTAAGAGATTCACCCCAAACTGAGCAGAAATGCTGTGACTGATCTCAACAGAGCCTGGAACGCGGGGTGATTTTAAAGCATTTTGGGGTATTTTTCTCTTGCTACCTGCCCAGCCCCGACAACCTAGCTAAAGAGACAGGTTTCTGTTGTTCCTCCCATCCCATGCCCAGCATCACTCACAAGCTCCCCTGGGGACGCCCGTGCACGGCTGCTGACCGCGACGTGCTTTGGTGCAGCCTCGTGCAGCAGCGTCTTGGCCGAGAGCCGAGGACAGAGCCGAGCGTGGCTCAGCACACGCAGAGCCTGCTGGTCCAGCACCCAGAGAAAAACAGCCATAATTTACCTGCAAATTGTCTGCTTTTATAGCAAACAAGGTGAAGGTCTAACACTTCTGGTAACTCACAGGGCCATTTTTCAGAGTGAAAATACAGTTTAAGGGAGACGTTTCCTACACTTTCTAAGTAACGATGGGCTGTGCTGTTTGGGAGGAATGGTTCGTTATATCAATGTGGGAGCATCAGTGCAACTTTCATAGTGGATTATCAAATGTCTGAAGGCTTTGTAGATGTGCTCGTTCTGCGTACAGATGAACCCACCACTTCTCCAAGCTTGCTCAGCAGCACGGTTTAAGTCTCCGATGCAGGTCCACTGATCTTTGTCTTTCCTTGAAACAGCCCATTTGGAATGATCGTTAATGGAATAAAAGGTGGAATTCAGTGGCGTCCCTATTAGGTTTATGTTGTAGACGTGGTAGTTGAGAGAGCAATTTGAGGGAAGTTTTTGGCCGGAATGCTGCCAGGATTCAGCCAACAAATCGGTCTTCAGTTCCTGAGCCACCCAGGCCACGTAGATATCTGTGGAATAACACAGGGTGTGGGAAATTAGTCTTTCACGTTGTTTCATTTAAGAGGGGACTGAAAAGCATCGCCTAAACTGGGCTTGTTTCATTGCAATGCATAAAGTGGGGGAGAAGGGATTTTGCCCTCTCCCCTTACTTTGACTTTTGTTTCAGAAGTTCATTTCTATTTTTCCTCCTTCTCCTGGAAAACCTGTTACAATAAAAAAAAGGAAAGGAAAAAAAATTTCAAGCCTTCTTCATACAAAAAAAAGACAGATGATTCAAACCTCATTTTTGTTCTTTGTTGTTACTGTTGAATAGCAGGAAATAAATTTTCTGAAAATCCCATTATTGAACACCTTAAGAAGGTGTTTGAAGGACCAGACATTTTTTTGTTTTGTGGGGCTGAGAGAATATTATGAGGGGACAACTTTCCCTGCCCTCTCTTACACTTATTTCTGAAGCTGAACTTCTTTTTTCCCCCTCAAAGAAAATACTAATTGTCAAATAGTATATTAATCGTTCATTACTTACTTGAGAATGTGTGATAGATAGCAACAGGTTCTCTTACCATCTATGTACAAGTGTGACTTCGCGAAGTGGAGAAAGGTTTCCCCATGAGCTGACTGGAGTTTGGAGAGATGGCGCAAGGGGACCGAGGGCAGCCTGGACCCTGCACAGAGCTTCTGCAGATTTGGGAGATCAGCTTGGAAGATGTTAGGGATGGAACAGCTGTAGATTCCTGGATTATAACTCAGCATCTGTTGGTCTGAGAAAAACCCAAAGAAATGTATACATGCAGGGTTAAAATGGGTTAAAGCGAAGGAATCAAAAGAGTAAAGTTCTGCCTTGGAAAGGAAACCTAAATCTTTCTTAATCTTCACAGCCTATCTCCTGGAGGAGTTCAGTGTCAAAGTATCTTATTTTAGCAACCAAACCCCTGTTTAATTGATTTGTATTCTGACTGGCCCTGCAGCACGTAGACTGGCTGGGAGAGTATGCTCAGGTTTTTCCGCTTACACCTCATCATCCTTAGCAGAACTGTTAGCCAGTGGTCTCAGTCCACTGCCACTTCTATCCATGCTCATCTTCAAGCCTCTAAGCACACAGCGCTCAGACGGCATAGTAAATTCAAGCCTGTCCGTATTTACAGGAGTAGCTTCCAGTCAGTTACAGTTGCCAAGCCAAATGCAAACAGAAGAGCTGCCAAAGGGTCTACTTTGGTTTTAGGGGGAACAGAGCTTGACTTTCAGCGTCTGGATTGAATTAGCAGAAGAAAATTACTTTTCTGTACAGTGCGCAGCTTAACTGTAGAAGTCCTTGCCACGGATATGGTAAAGAGCAAGGGAACAAGTGGGCTCATTAGATGAGTTCATGGAAAACCAGTCCATCAGGAACTTTCCAGTCTTTCCGGCTCAGGAAATCCCTGAACCACAGATTATGAGAAGCTGGGAGGATGGAGCAGGAAAAGCAAAGAAAATTACTTTTCTGTACAGTGCGCAGCTTAACTGTAGAAGTCCTTGCCACGGATATGGTAAAGAGCAAGGGAACAAGTGGGCTCATTAGATGAGTTCATGGAAAACCAGTCCATCAGGAACTTTCCAGTCTTTCCGGCTCAGGAAATCCCTGAACCACAGATTATGAGAAGCTGGGAGGATGGAGCAGGAAAAGCATTACTGTGTTCATTTTCTTTCCCTAAACACATGCATAGATGCGCTTCCACAAACAGGAACCTGGTTTAGATAGCGCTGGGGTGTGGCCACCCTATGTGCTTCATTAATATCATTTGAGGCTTGTAACTGAGAAAAGAGTGAAAAACAGTGTGAAAAGCATTAAGGAACATACCAGTATGATTTATTATAACGCCTTTTGATAGTCCCTTTTCAGGATTCCAGTACCAGATATCACTGTCAGATGGTTCTGAATCTTATGGGTATAGATTTCATTTTTTTTAATTTTTAGTATTGGTATTTTATGTGGCAAAAGGTACCTGGGGAAATTCTGGGCGATATTTATTCCATACTTCGTATTGCTGACGTGTCAAGGCTACTTCTCCAGCTCAAGCAGCAGTTGCCTTATATTTTTAGAACTGCAGATGATTGCAGCTGAACGAGCTATTACTGTTAAAAATTATTAACTTTATATTTCCAAAGCATTTTGTATGCATGGACTGAGTTTACCCTTGATACGCACTCGTGACTATTATTATCCCAATAGTTCCCATGGGGAGATGGAGGCAGAGTGGAAGAGTGAATTTCCCACATTCACACAGGAAATCTTTGGATAAACATAACTGAAGCCAAAAATGCTGTTTCCAGGCCCCACTTGGTTTCCCAGTCTGACAACAAAGGACAAGAACAAGCAATTTTTGAGGCGAAGCCTCAAGGAAAGCAGTCAGAGGTGTGGCGGGGCAAAGGCTTTCTTAGGGAGAAGCTTTTCATACCTATTTCTGTGAACTGGTCATATTTGAAGGTTATACAGATGGCTGTCTGGCCGTAGGACTCCCCGGTAGCTGGATACCCGTAACCATCCTCAGGGATGGGAGGGAACAGAGGCACACTGTGAACCACCCAGAAGCCTTGTGATTTGTCCAAGAGCAGAAATCCTGTCAAAGCAAAGTTATTGCAAATGAATTAAGGGGGGAAAAGCCCTGAGATGATACAGCTGTGTCCTACTTTGGATTTGCTGCTGCAGGAACCACACTTCAGTGTGTTAATGTCTACAGTAAACTGGCTCTAGAGTAGATTAATGGATTACAGGAGACACCAATATTGTATTAAAATCGCATTTTTTCTCTCCGCATGGAAGAAGCAGCAGAGAGACGGGCTATGCCTCCCCCTGCAGCAGGGCGCTCTGGGGAGGAGCACGGCTCCCGCGCGTCCCCATTGCTGCAGCCTGGAAATACAGCCCTGCAAAATATCTTCATCCCAGAGTCAGGCTGGGCAAACCCCATCTGCTTCCTCAAGGGAACATTTAGACCTCCACTGAAGCTTACACTTATTTGAAGTCTTGCTTTACTCTAACTGCATACTTTAGCACTTCCATGATCTTGGCAGCAGTTTCTTGCCCCAGAGAGAGAGAGAGTTTGGAGGGGTTTGTGTTTGGGGTGCCTTTCCCTTCACATTTTGTACTGCTGTTGCCGTTAGGCTCAGGATGATGCGGTCTGTACGCACTGAAAGGAGGTATATGAGTTTCAACTCTTGAAAATAAGGGGTCCATAAGCCCTAAGAGTTCTTCAACACAGCACAGGCATACCAAAACAGAAGCTGCAGCATATATAACTATACCACAAACCACACATCATGCAAATCGTTCTCCAGTTTTGCTTTAGGCAGGAATTTTAGATATGCAGATAGACAAACAGACAAGTAGATGCTATCCACAACTTTAGAAAGGAGAAAATAGTAGCTTGGGACTCTCCCTGTACCTTTGGTATGCCCTCTTTTCCACCCGTCGGAGTGTGATTCAGGGACCTCGTCATTGTATATAGCATATGCAATGCTGTTCCTCTGCAGGAAAACACACAATTCTGAAACATAACATTCAGTAAAAGGAAGGCATTTAAGCGAACATCTTCTGCTGGGAACAGAAGAAAGAATTCAGGACTTCTCTGTGTGAATATCACGAGCCTAATCCTTCTCCCAATTCAGCTGACACCGTCTCTACAGAAGTTACAGTAAAATAAACCTGAAGACTCAGCATTAGGGTCCTGGTTAATACGAAGTGGAAGTTCTCTCAATCATTGCAGTAGCCCTTCCTCAAGAGGTCAAATATGCTCACTAAGACAATTTACAAGGGTTTATTGGGCACTCGCTTGCAAAGAAGTTCCCCCCCTCTTTTTTTTGTGCCTCTCTGTGGCTTAGCTACCAGATCTGGTGAAAATGTTTCCTGAGGAAAAATAGGCATGACAAGTGTTCTTACGAAGGACAAGCAATTAATGCTTTTTTGCAAAATATTTGCATATGGCCACACCTTATTCCCCCTGAATAGAGAACTTCAAAGGAGTTGGGACATGTTTCCCCTCCTGACATACTCTGAGTTTGTAAATAGTTTATCACAATTACAGCGAGACCTGGAATAGGACAGTTGATTGGATTGCCAATATTCGACTGACTTCTGGGAATCTCTTCTATGTATAAACTAATGACACCCTGCCACTAACCCACAGCAGAAATGCAAAGAGACACCCAGATTCCCAAGAGCACTATGTAGATGGTTAAAAAATAACCATAGGCAGATCTTGTGGTATTTTATAATCACTTCACACAAATATAAATGAGGTGTCTGACGCGGGGAGGGGCGGGGGGGGGAAAGGCCTAACAAGCAGCATATCACTGCCGAAGCAGTCAGAGTGATTTCAGGGGGAAGAGCAAAACGCAGATTTGATTTGCGACAGAGCGTGAAACACGTGCACACGGGAGGGCTTGGGATGAGTGTCTGCAATAGTCGCCACCGGCCCTGGTCTGAGGTCACAGCCAGTTCACAGCTTCAGGCGTTGCTCGACGTGAATTGCAGAGAAGCCAAAGGGACTATGTACCAACGCTGGGTTTTTTTGATGGGCAATACTTTAAGCGTGTGAAAGGCTTGACTAGAAATTAGAAGGTCAAGGATAATTTATAATTGTAGCCAAAACTGCAAATAATCTGCCCAGCTGTCAAGACACTCCCTTTGACGTGTTTTAGTAGATCTAGTTGGTCAGGTCCGGCCATACCTCTACGTGCTTATTTTGGCTGGCTTCATTTCATTTGCATATAATATCAAGTAAGCATAGTAACAAAATGATAATTAAATGTCACTTGCCTCAGATTCGTATGTCTCGTACAGCTGCTTCAGTGTTTGTCCCAGAGCACCCTGTGTCATGTTGATGAGGTATTTACCCAGCTGCCACTGTGGAGCCAGGGCGTCCATGTACATGTATTCCAGCCCCAGCATGGGAATCTCTCCTTTGGCATGTTTTGGCAACTTGTAGAGAGCAAACCTGCAACAGTGAAGAGCAATTGGTTTTTTTACAACCATCCTGTTTGAATGTGTAAATCAGTATCTCCTTCCCACCTGAGGATTTAAGAGAAGGATGACTCCGGCGAGGCCTACACTGGAGGGGTCCCGTGCCACCAGCCTGCGGTGTGGACATCTCAGCCTCGAGGAGGTGGCCCGGCGCAGGGACCAGCAGCAGTTCGGCAGCACAGTACCTGCTGCAGACAAATTTGTTCTGCTTCTTAGCAAGCAAGGGAGGCTGATTCGGCACCAAACTCCTGTCGCTGTGGCCAGACTGCTGTTGGTACCCCAAAAGAATTTGAGGTAGCCCTGGTTTGGAGTCCTGTTTAGCCACCAAATCCCTATTGCTCCTGGTTCTGGTAGAGAACCTCAGGTCCCAAACTTAGTCTGACATTCTCATGGTCAACCTGGACAGCTCTTACCAATACATTTTTATATTATATGAATATAACTTTATATGAAATAGATACAAGTATGTATTAAAATCCTAAAAAATGCATAATGTTATATTTATACAGCTTAAAACCACAAAATAAGTATAAAGCCATGTGATAATGTTGTTCCAATCCTACTTTTCATAACAGACTCGCACCCTGTTGAACTGTTGCAGACTGGATATTTGCAAACCACTAGCCAGAAACACAAATCTTTTCAAAATTGTAGAGTACTCAATATTTTCAGTAAATGGCTTAGTTCATGTTAATGTCCCCGATGAAGTAAACAGGTTTTCCCAGTGCACAAGTCCATGGGATTAATTGCAATATAATTAATTGAGCCACTTTCTTTGAGTGCTGTACTTGAGTAATTTGCTGTTTATGTCAATAGTAAGAACTGAGTGGCATTATTTTCAATCCCATGCTATTTACCAAAATGCAGCCTGATTGGGCTTAACCCTTCAAGTATATCAGTAGGAGTGAGCCTTGCCCAGTTGATTTACAGTCTCAAGTTGGTCAAAAAAAGGCACCTCTGAAAGCAGGTAAGAAGTGGCAGTAAAGCATTTTGCCAGAGGAACATTTAATCCGTGGGAAACGTACATGTACAGGCAGAAGAGAAACACACACCACTGGTGATCCTGGTAATCCACCTGCATTGCCACTGACTGAGTGATGTTCCTTAAATATCGCAGAAGAAATTGTTGCTGATGACAGACCACAGAGAAGAGAAGAAGGTGATTTATATGGCAAGGCTGGGGAGAGCTGTCCATGCACGAGGAGTCACAACAATCCTTTTATTTGAAATGAAGATTTGGAGAGGAATAGCAGTAGTTACAGTAGTACGAGCTGATCCAGGAATTAGTATACAAAGCCTTTCCAAACTGCTTTAAAATGTATTGGAAGATTTATGCTCTCGGGGTGTTCTCAGCCTTGCATCTGACAAATACGTGTTAGCAGGTATGCTTACGGAAATGTTAGTTGAGCTATCAGTAAATTCCCTGCCAATTCCCAGTGGATATATGTTTTGGCCCTTTCCAGAAAGCCAGCTGAGTGTATTAGCAATTAAAGTTGTATAAAATTCTTCACTGCTATTTGTGCACAGGAAGTTTCTCAAGAGCTTAGGCATTTGTGGGAGCAGACTGAAAGTTATTTTCCTGAGAACCAAGGAAAAGCAAATCCGCTTATATCCGATTAGCATTGTCACATTGTTTGCTTGTGACTGAACACAAACTTACTACAAATAATCACATCTTTGCTTCTTAATCACATCTTTACTTCTTCCCACCCTCCCCCCAAAGAAACCCAAACAATGTGCATCTGTGGCTTCAGTCCTTGACTCAACGCTTCTCAGAAAGCAAAGTTTTGGCTTTTATTTGCGTGAAAAGCTTCCCACAGAATACAGTGAGTTTGGATGAATAAAAGAGAGACTTTCTGCCCTCCTTAGAGAGCCGACGCTACGGCCATTTGTTTTGGTAGCCCCTGCGCGAGGTGCAGTGAAGATGGCGGGACGAGCTCCCGAGTGGAATGAAATCACGGGGGGGACTTTTGCCAGCCCGGGCCTTGCGTGTGGGTAGGAACTGCAGGCACGGCTGGGGAGCACAGATGGGATCAGGTCAGATAAGGCAAGTGATTTCTCCAGTTTAGTGGCAATGAAAGGGTGCGTGAATACTCATAATGACTAACTATGGAATATTGCAGGATGAAACCACTGAATAGTAGGAACTCACATAAAGCTCTTGCTAACTGAATATAAAACCTGCAGTGCTGTGTTTGTTTGAAAGGGCACCGACATCTTTTGGTTAAGAGGAAGCTTTTCTCAGCAGTTTCTGTTCTGTTTCTTCTATCAGCTTCATAGCAACCAAATCCAGAATCAGGCAAAAGCTGACTATTTCTTGTCAATAAACTAGGATGACCCCTGGAGATAGGCAAGTTTCTCTTTCATATGATCATGGCACATTGGAAAGGAAATCCCCCATGTCTTCCCTGCTAAACTTGGCAGAAGAAAACATGGGTTTACGTGTGCAGACACCCCGGCTCCCTTCTGGAACGGTCCCACATAGCTGGTGTTTACACGCATGGCGGCACAGATAAATTACTCCTAGTCACAGCCTTCAGAGAATTTCTCAGAGAATTTGGATACAAAAATTGTGTTCATTTAAGAAAAGGATGGTAAATGGTTTTTTGTTTTGTTTTGTTGTTTGGGTTTTGGTCTGGTTTGTTTTTTTTTTTAGCTTTAGCACACACAGATTCATTCTGCAAGGAATAATTGCAGTTTATGGAGAAATGAAATTTCTCGTACCTGTAAGTTGGGTGGCTGCACCAACTAACAGTCTGATCCCTGAAAAACTCACATTACCCAGAAGGGCCTTGGCAAGGGTGACAAGTCACAGGGATGGACCAGACCCTCATATGTTTGATGCTATGCCAACAGAGAGCAAAGTCGGCTTTATGCCCCTGCTTGAGCAGCCTGCCTGTGGTGTGAGGAGCCCCTGCCTTCCCTGCAGTTAGCTCTGTGTGCAAGGGAGGGGATGTGCAAGAATAGCACCTACTTCTTTGTCACTTGTGTCCAACTAATCATTGTTCTGCGAGAAAGACAGTTTTCTTTTTAAATCAGTTTATATTTATCTCTGAGAGGCTTCCATGCTCTTTTTTAAGAGCCCTCGTTTCACTTTTTAAACGTGGGTTGGATATTATGTCATTATACTTTGCATCTTTCATCTTCAGAGCGCATTAATCCAATTAATCATTTAATACCCAACCTAGGGCTGGCTGCTGGCAGTGGGACGGTAGCAGCTCTAACGCGCCGGCAGCTCGGGCGGCAGGGAACAACCTCTGCTCCTCAGCCACAAGGCGCAGACGGCGCGTTCGCACACGTCCACCCCCGCATCCCTCCCACGCTCTCAGCCTCCGCTCCCCCTCGGCGACGGCAGCAAGGGGACAAGTCCCACCACGCCGCTGTTCGGGTACGAGCGACGGGGCTAAGGGCGAGGTACGGACGTTTTCCCTGCTCGGCTCAGTTCCCCCAGCC